GTTTGTTTATTATGTTTGTGTGTCCCGTGCATTAACAGAGGAATTTAAATTCAATAACTGATTTAAAAAAACCTTTCTGTTTCTGACAAATAATTTTGCACTTGTTGCTATTTCAGCGCTTGTTTCTCTCCTTGATGTTGTCCTTGTTTCCTCCTCTCCTTTCATTCCTCTTTGTCTTTGCTTTCCTTTCCTAATCCATTCTCCTTATCCATGTGCCTAGAGCGATACATGACTTGTTATAAATGACTTATTGGCCTATAATCTGTGAAAAATATGACTAACATTTTTCTCATGAACAATATTAAGCTATTTTAAGCCAGAAAGAGTACATCTATCACAAGGTAGAAGCAAAGATACTGTTACATTTTGGGTACTTATCCAGGTGAAAAATGTAACTCACACTAAAAATGTCTTTTCAAGAGAGATCTGACCAAACATAAAATCACAGTTCTTTTAAAATAGCTTAAGGAATCAAAGAGGGTTTGATTGATTATGATGTCAGTACAATAATGTGGAGCCATAAAGATACTTGCAAAATATTCATTTCTTCATTTTATAGAAAAACCCTTCCTCATCACTACAGTCTATCTACCAATATAAGTTCAGACATTACTAATAAAAAAAACATCATTTTTCTCTTCTTTTGCTCCATTATTTGTTTGCTTCTCATCTTTTTCCATCACTTCTCCTCCCTCTCAGGATTTATCCATCATGCTCCACCATTGTTTCCTCACTGTTGGAGCCCTGCTCTCATTGGCAATATCCGGGCTAATCGCTATGGAGACCTGTCCAGCTACAGGGATGCCCGGAATGCCAGGCGAGTGCATTTTTGTGCACATGATTGTTGAGACTGATGTGTTTTTGTTCTCTATTGGTTTTTTGAGTTTCATTAGAACTTTCTGACCATCTTCAGGTATTCCTGGGCTTCCTGGAAGAGATGGTCGTGATGGACAAAAAGGAGAGAAAGGAGATCCAGGTATCTAGAACATAACTGTGTAAAAGCAGGTTATGATAAGGGAAAAATCATTTTGTCACCAATGTATCCTCTACAAAAGGAGAGAACAAACAAAGCGCTGTATTTAGGTCATTCAGCCAGCGCTTCTTAGGCCTGCCACACATATATTGCTGGGTCTTATCACTCACTTAAAAGCCTTCATCACCAAAACGATTCCACTGCAACCATAGATGACCATAGATGGCTCTGGAAGCAATCCCTGTGGCTAATGTTAGCAGCAGAGCTATGAATGCACAGATTCATACATCTGAACATTGGAATTATTGGGACTTGTACGTGATATAATCATCTGCAAAAGTCTGTCTGCTGAAACCAAAATGACTTCTGTTTAAGTGCTGGTCAGACTTACGTCTCCTGGATTAATTCAACTAAATGTCAGATTGTAATCCCTTACGTTACTGATCACCGAGGAAAGCAATTACATTAATGTACTAATGCTTCGAACTTGTTTCTTTAGGAACAAAGTTGCAAGGTGGTCTTGGGCCTCAGAAAGGAGAGAAAGGGGAGCTCGGGCCAGAGGGGCCCCCTGGTAAAAGAGGTCAGATTGGGGAGTCTGGGAAGCCAGGTACCCCAGGAACTGCCGGACCTCCGGGAGAACCAGGAGAACAAGGGTAGGTAAACAGTTCAACAGTTTACTCAGTAAACTGTCAAAGCTGGATTATTACTTTATGTGTGCTACATTAATTATATGAAACAAAAAAGGCCATTCCTTGATTTAACTATATGAAATGTATAACTGGTAATGAGTTTATTTTTTAAACCTATGTTTAATTCATTCATTCATTTTAATTAAATTTTGTGTAAAGAGTTCCAAATCAAAACAATAATTGCTTCAAGGCACTTCATATTGTTAAGTTAAGACTGTAAAATAATGTAGGAGCGAAGTCCCCCCCAAAATCAAACAACCCCTTATGAGTAAGCCCTTGACAACAGTAGGAAGGAAAAACTCCCCTTTAACAGGAAGAAACCTCCAGACTCAGGGAGGGACAGCCAAATGAGGGTCGTGGCATTTGGGAGGTGAGGGAGGGAAGGAAGACAGGACAAGTGGAAAGTGTGGAAGACAGCCAGAGATGAATAATTTCTCCACGGGGATCAATAAATTATACATTATTATTATTATTATTATTATTATTATTATTATTATTATTATTATTATTATTATTATTATAAGTAATGATTAAATGCAGAGTGATGTATAAACATGATGAGAGTAAAAAGAGGTGAATGAAGATGCAGAATCATGCATCATAGGAAGGCAAGTATTGCAAAGGGAGGATTCAAGATGAGAGCATTATGTTCACTGTTAAAAACAAAACAAAAAACAGTCCACTGCAGTTGTTCTGCATTAATTAGCTGCTTTAAAAAAAATGGCACCCTGTTCTATTAAAAAAATACTCTCTGTTGCTGCAGGGCTGTTGTAGTCCAGCAGCAGGCGGCCTTCAGTGTGGCCAGAGCGACAAACCAATACCCAGATAAAGCCAGCGTCATTAAGTTCACAGATGCAATCACCAACATCAACGATGACTACAACATAAACACAGGACGCTTCAGGTGAGACATTTTTCTTTCAGGCCAGACCGATCACTGTAGGTGTGTTTGCCACTTTAATGTTGAATGATTAATGTTAGTTTTAAAATTGTAAAGACTCATTCGGCAGTGAAACGTGATGGCAACAATGATTCCTGCTCAAACTTTCATAATAATACATTTCACAATGATCATAGAGTTCAAGCACTCATACTATAACAATCAGAGACAACACTACCACACCATCATAATTAGGATTTTGGAGGACTGCACATGAGCATGTCTGCTATTTTATTTAAATAGCACCGAATCACAAAAACTGTTGCCTCAAGGTACTTTATATTAAGTTAAAAACCATAAAGTAATTCAGAGAAAAAACTTGCACTTGGCGACAGAGTGAAGGAAAAACTCCCTTTTAACAGGAAGAGGCTCTCAGCAAAACAAGGCTCAGGCAGGGGCACGCATCTGCTATGACCAGTTTGGGGTGAGGGGAGGAAAACAGGACAAAAGACAAAATGTGGAAGACAGCCAGAGATTAATAATAAGTAATGATTAAAAGCAGAGCGGTGTATAAACCTGCATACATCAAAACACTCATGCACAGTTAATTCCAATCATCAAGCTCCACGTTCTTCTTGCTTCATGAGTTACACCAAGAGTCTTTGCATCCAGTCTTTGCGTCTTTCCCATCCACTCGATTCCCCAGATTTAGCACTCTGTGACTTCCTCTTGCCAAAAATCTTAACCTCCTAAGACCCCAGCTCTTCCATGGCATGCATTTTTAATTTCTCTTTGATATTTGGGGCATATTGGGACCTGATGAATGTAAAAACAAAGAATTACCAGAGGAGGTTAAGAGTTTAACAACAAAGGCTTTGAGGTTAGATTGGGTCTTCTACTGATTGCTCTAGAAAGCTGTCCAAATGTGCAGAAGCAAAGGAACTGAATTGAAACAGGCGTCAAAAGGCTTGAAACTTTATGGTCTCACCTTGTAGTTGCTGAGACACACTACATTGCAAAAAAAAAAAAATCACTCATCCATCCATATCACTGAACTGAGGGCATACCACCGGTGGAAGTCCAGTCCTGACATTTCCTTGTTACCAAATATTCCAGACTTAACTGTGAATAACATTTTGATAACTCCGCTGAATTACTTTGAACAAAGTAATTCTGCCCAATATGACATAAGACATAAGAAACAAATCCACTTGTATAGAATCATCTTCATTGTGTTGTTGTGTCGCATGTAGGTGTCGGGTCCCAGGAACGTACTACTTTGTGTACCATGCCTCGTTAGATGAAAAACTGTGTGTGTTGCTGAAGCGTGACAACATGCTGCTGGCATCGTTCTGCGATCATCGGCAGGGAGGGAGACAGGTACAAGCATCAGACGATAACAATTCCTATTATTGGGTCAGAGTGTATTAACCTCTGAAATAGATATATCCTCCATTTAATTTTTGAACTCCGCTGATCCTAGGTGACTTCTGGTGGCCTGGCAGTGTACGTGTCAAAAGATCAAGAGGTTTGGTTGGAGACTAAAGACTACAGAGCGATGAGAGGGACACGAAACGGATACAGCATCTTCTCTGGCTTCTTGCTTCACTCTCACTGATCACCCCCAGGACAGGAAACAGAAAACAGTTTGACAGCTGAACGACTGAAACAACATGAAAACATTTTCTTACTGTTTCTTCACAATGATCATTTACCTTTGTAAAAGGCACAGAATGTTTATTTTTCATTTTCATTTTTATTCAGCGGCCAACATGCACCATTTTATTCTCTTTCTGCTGAATCAGCTCTGAGTTCCTATCAGTTGAAAAGCTGACACTTCAAATGGAGAAGATCTTTGTGTCTGTAACTGACTGTCGATGGTTCTGTCTAAAATTTGAAGTTTCTCTTGTTCAGTTTGATAAAGTTGGTTTCATACTCAGACTTTCTGCAGACTCAGTTGATATTAATGGGTGTGATTTTTAAATGCATTTCCAAACACAGTTTGATTTTTCTAATTTCCATCATTATCTCGAGTTCACATTTAAGCACAGAATGTCCCATCAGCTCCGTGCCTCGCTGTCACATAGTTTAAACAAACAAGCTAAGTAAAGAGCTGAGCATCAACCAAGCCTTTGTGTTGTTGTGATTCTTTGAATTAATGTCTCCATTTATTATATATTTTCCTTTTCTGTTCACTTCAAAAATGACCACACTTTCAATGATCACACACACACACACACAGAAAGAGAACAAAATCAGTAAAAGAAAGTCGCATTTGAACAAACTAGCAGTAAAATTGATTGTCAGAGACTACATACATAATGAGGGAGAATACGACAAAGAATAGAGGGAGACAGACACAGGAGGGGAGAGTGGACACACCTGGGAAAACAGCTGGACAGAATCTAACCGATGAGACAGAGGAAGTAAAAGTGAACGCAGACGAGAAGACGAAGTGACCAGGACTAAGACATAAGAAGTTGACAGAACAAACAAAACAGAACACAGGGAGACCAGCGAGACACAGGGACATGATTGGAGATACAGAAATGGATCACAAAAAGAGAACAAACTAGGATATGAACAGACTACAAACAGAGGATATGATACATGACCTGGGAAAACAACAACATACTAATATTACCAAAAAACAAACTTAAACACAAAAAACCAAATACAAAAAAAAACTTAAAATACTGAGTTGGAGACCCAGGATGATGACAGGTACTATGTGATGTTCAATAAAACCTGTGGAATAGGTTTAGATGATTGTGGTGCATTAAGGTAACAATATCTATCCTCCACACTCTCAACTGCATGACCAGGGCAGAAATAGCGGATTTGCTTCGGTTGCTGATGAAAGGAAGACAGTCAGGGACTTAGTTTCCCCAGTATGAAGTGAATGAATGTGCAGGTGTTTGTTTACATGCAGCTATGAATGACTTATCGCACCATAGTTAGTGACCATGAGTGCACACATACATTACATTGTCAAAAGCATTCACTCGTCTGCCTTCACACACATATGAATGTCAGTGAAATCCCATTTTTAATCAGCTGGGTCTAATATGACGTCATCTGAGCTTTTGCACCTATAACAGCTTCAGATCTTCTGGGAAGGCTTTCCAAGTTTACAACTGTTTTTATGGAATTATTGATCATTCTTCCAGAAGTGCATTCGTGAGGTTAGACGGATGTTGGATGAGAAGGCCTGATAGTCTCCGCTCTAATTCATCCTAAAGGTGTTCAATCAGGTTAAGGTCAGGATTCAGTGTAGGCCAGTTAATTTCTTCCACACCAGACCTGCTCATCAATGCCTTTATGGGCCTAACTATATGCACTTATGTGCAGTTACGTTGGAACAGGACGGGATCATCCTCAAACTGTTCCCGCAAATCTGGGAGCATGAAATTGTCCAAAATGTAGTATGCTGATATGTATGTTGAAGCAACATGAGTTCTTTTCACTGGAGCTAAGGGGCTGAGCACTGTAGCGCCTCTGGGAAAAACATGCTCACACCATAATCCCCCCCTCCACCAAACGTGGCACAATGCAGAAAAGGTCTCCTGGCAACTGCCAAACCCAGACTCGTCCATCGGATTACCAGACGGAGAAGCGTGATTCGCCACTCCAAAAAATACATCGTTACTGCTCTAGACTCCAGTAGAGGTGTACTTTACACCACTGCATCTGGTGTTTTGCATTACTCTTGGTGAGGTAAGACTTGCCTGGAACTGCTGGTCATGGAAACTAATTTCATGAACTTCTCTGTGCTTCAGGGAATGGAGCTAATCTCAAGGCCAACTGAAGTTTCAAGGTCTTTAGCAATGGAGTTGGTGACCTGGACACTACATGTCTCAGCATCTGCTGACACTGCTCTGTGATTACATCCTACCACTTCGTGGATGATTTGCTGCTGCGATCTAAAATGCAAGAAATGAAAAGAGGATATGAGAAGAGAAAATGCCAAACTAGCAAATTAACAGGATGCCATTATTAAAAATAAACACCAGCTACATATTGTGGAGCAAATCAAATATTTTGTGGAACAGATACCAACATCCAGAATGAGGTTAGGAGTTCAGCCGCACACTGCCTGGAAACACCGTGTTTTTCTGACAATAAAAAAGAAGTTGATAGAAAAACAGAACAAAATGTTAATTTAGAGGAAAGATTTTTTTAATCAGATGCCCTCAGTGATGCTTCATCATCAATTCTTCATTTGGTGGAGACTTCTCTGACCTTATCTGAAACAGTTTCACTTCCTTAGAAGGTTTCAGAAAAAAATTACTTTCTTGGGTAAAACTGACTAAATGCAATGATCATAAAGAATCAAATGAGAACAGAACAAACAGGAAAAAGTAGATAAATTGAAATATATAACATGCTGGAAATTACTGGTAGAATGTAAATAAGACTGATGGATGTAATTTCCATTTTGTTTTGCTATATTTTCACTTCACAATATTTTAATAACAATATATATTTGAGCCATTTAATTCAAAAGTTCTTTATTGATTAAATTTGGACTTAAAAACATAAAAACACAAAGACACTGATCAACTACAGCTGTCTTTGTCAGGACATTTGTCAATAAACATCATCCAAACGGAGTTATCCTGGTGGATGAGTTCTAAGAAATTTTCCCCCACCCTCAGTTGTTATGAAGAAGGGGCCAAAATATTTTGTATCATGTATTTCAGCTTTAAAGTTGCCACCTCTTTAAAAACAAAAAACAAAAAACCAAAAAACAGTTATTTCCCTATAAAAATGTATTTTTGCTTCATGGATCCAATCATGGATCCAATTTTTTAAAATGTAATTGTTACTTATAACATGTATGTAACTTTGTAATTTTAACATGTTGTCGCCTCTTGGCCAGGACTCCCTTGAAAAAGAGGTTTTTAATCTCAATGGGACTTTTCCTGGTAAAATAAAGGTTAATAATAAATAATCAGTTTCACATGGGTTGTAAAATGATATCTGATGTGATGATGTTGGTTTATATTCCTCCAAGATAAAAAAAAATAGTCTTAAACCAGTGTTGAATAAAAACTAAAACTGAATAACTGACGTTATATTTTTAGATGTAGCAGAGACAGGGCCTCACAATCTTTTTTTTTTTAAACTGTAAAATCAGTGTAGCATTTCCAAACATGCAGTTAAGAGTATGTACAATCATATATATATAGTTGAAAGGCAAATCATTTCTGGATGTTCATGATGCAAAAACAATAAATCTCTGCTCAGTTTAACACTTCAGCGCTTCCTCCTTGGTATTGTTCATAACCAATGTCAAATTAGATGTAACATTTATTTCATTCATTTTTTGTGATTATTGGGTGTTTCATTTTGAATAAGTATATTTAGAGATGCAGTGGTTAGTAATGTTACTTCACAGGAAGACAGTCGTAGGTTTTAATCTTGAGGTCTGTTGACTCCAGTGTAGTTTGCATGCTCCCCCATTTCTGCATGGGTTCTCTCCAGGTACCCCAGCTATTCTATTCACTTTTTCTCACACACCACCAAATCACAACAACATCATCATCTCAAGGCAATTTTCATTGCAAGGTTAAGAGCCTACAGCAATAAAGAGAAAGCCCAAATAATCAGACCAGACCATATTTCTCTGGTAACCTAAACGGCCTATTAAAGACCTGCTGCAGTATCTTCAAAACCCAATAAGGGGGCCACAGATTGGATTTGTCCCTGTAAGTCCCTACAGAGTGAAGAATTAGTGTTGTACCACAGAAAGGATTAATAGTGACACCAATAGTTTTTCTTCTTGCTCTCTTAAGTTTCACTTCCTCTTTTTTCGCCCGATTGAGCTGTGGCAGTCACAGTGAAGCACAACGAAAAGTCTTCATCTCCGCTCCCCATCAGCTTATCGCTCCGCTGCAGCAGGAAACACTTTATTACCTGCAAATGGTGAGATGATTTTTACAGATACTAAAAAGCTAGCCCGACAAAACTGTACAGACTTGTACAGAAGTGTTGGGTTTCCTCACATTTCTTGCTGAATGGTTGTTCATGTTGGATTCAAATCTGTGTCAATTATCTTTCACTTTTTAAGTGTAGTTAAATGTTTTAGAGTTCTTGTCTTTTACAGATTTCTTTTTAAAGACTCAAATGTACTTATCCTAAACATCTTCCTGTATTTTTTGTATTTTAATTTATTATTTTTGTAAGGATTCAATACAATCTTTAAAAAGTTATATCTTCAGTTTGTAGCTTGTCGCTCCACTTAGGTGGAAATTCTTCTGAAAGCTTTATTTTATTTTATTTTTATGTTTTGGTTTATTTGTTTTTTTATATGAGGGTCTATTTTTTTGAAAGGTAACTCATATCTGTGTGATCAGGCCCTCCAGTGGCTGAGCTGCAGTACTGCAGTGTTGCTGTTTCTGGTTCACATCACCCCAGCTGATATGCAGTCCTGCAATGGGGGAATCCCTGGGATTCCTGGGATACCAGGCACTCATGGGCCCAACGGCAATGATGGTGCTAAAGGAGAGAAGGGAGACCCCGGTGAGCGCAGACTGCACATGAAGAGAATAAATACTCAATATTAACTATACACTATATGGAGTGCAGGTTTTCGTTCCTATTACTAAAACATCTATTTAGTCAGAGGACTTCTTCATTAACAGATTTAAAAACACTTCATTGGTGCATTTGCCAAGCTGGCCAAAAGATAACTGATTATCTTGTACTTCAGTTTCAATTTCCACTGATATTTTTATGCTGTGTAATAACTGTTTATTTGCATGAGCAGGTGAGGCAGATCATACCATCAGGGGTCAGAAAGGAGAACCTGGTCCAATTGGTCCTCCAGGGCGACCTGGACTGAAAGGGGACCCAGGCCAACCAGGCAGTAGGGGGTTATCAGGTCTACGCGGGCCGAAGGGAAGCCCCTTTGGCCAACAACAATCCTATTTCTCCTTGAAATCTACAACATCATCAGTAGTAGATACTCCCATCATCTTCAATGGGTCAGTGTGCTGAAAGTTTTAAATCTTCAGAATGAAAAAAGAGTGATATTTTATTTCAGAATTGCTAGGTAAATATAGAAACTACCCAAAGCTAGTGGTAAGGAAACAAAAAGGGAAAAACTGTTTGATTGGATGACAGATAAAGTGACCACTGAGCATCTGATTAATTTAGTTATTCTATTTAAAAAACACTGACTAAAACAGTGGCATATAGTAAAGTCTCCACACATAACAAGTTTTAGATTTTTGTTTAAAAACATGAACAGTAAGTAACAGATTCATCAACACTGTGTAATCTTAGTTGAACCATAGACTGTATATGAAAGATGGCAATAGCTTCCAGGTCTGAAAAATGCAGCCACTGCTTAAACTTGCATTCTTTCTGCTGGCCAGCAGGGGGTGACTGGTCCAAAAAATCTGATTAATAGAAAAACGACACTCAGCTCCTTCGATTTATGACCTCATTAAACATCATCCTGAGGTGGTTATTGTTTCAAATAGTGTTTTTTAAACTTTTTCAACCCAACAAGATGTTACTCTATTAAAATGTGGTTTTAATTAGAGTAATACACACTAGAGGGGGAGCCGAACCCGAATATGGTATTCGGAAAGGCACAAATAACGTGTTTTTTACAAATATTTATTTTGAACAAATATTTAAAAAAAATATTTGTGTTCGGGAATAGGAAAAACTTTATTATATTATATTATTATCTATTAAAAACCTGAGTTTCCTTATGAGACCGCAGAACATGAGTGAGTGACATGTGAAAGAGGTGACTGACACGCACTGCTCCACACAGCAACAGAGAAGGCTCGAAAAAAGAGTGAACTGCTTCACAATGTTTGCTGAATTTATATTTTTGTACCTTAACTGGGTTCCAGTTTATGACTTTTGCGAAGATCGGGAGATTATGCCATTGCGCTGCATCATTGACGTCTGCAGTTGGGTGCTCTGGTGTTCCTTTGTCTTTACATAGCTCTGTTAGCTCAGTAATTTAGACAATAGGCTGTTGACAGAGTAACGTTAACGTTCGGTTAAAGAGGTTAAAACAAGGTTAAAACAATGCTTGTGTAGTTGTCACTCATTAACTTAGCTGAAACTCCCCACATGGATTTGGGGAACCGAATAGAAGAATGTTGCTGCTGCTGAGCCATCTGGCAATGACGTTCAATGACGTTCCTTGTTACATGTTCATTGCTGGATTTATGGGAAAACATCAACTAATATTGCATATCCATAATTATTATAATGGATATAATTAAAGAATACTTACACTATAATGTTTGTTAAAAGTGCAACGCAAAAAAACTGGATTTTTACGCATTTTTAAAAAATATTACTCGAATACAAATACAAATACTTTTCCCTCCTCAACAAATACAAGTACAGATACAAATACCGGCTGCTTTGCACATCTCTAATACACACATTGCTATGAATAAAAAATAACCACAGCTCTTTGTTTTGTAAGAACTAGCACAACTCAAAACTTAAAAAAACAGAAAAACAAACTATCGTTGTTGATCTGTAAATCTCCCACAGACCAATTTTGGCTGAAGAGAATGAACCGTTTCGAGGAGAAAGACTGACAAATGATACAACGTACATCTGCACCAACAGAGGCATATATTTCTTCAGTTACCACATCTCAGGAAAGTATAAGGTGAGTATGAATAATTTATTCTTGTAAAACTACTCTGTATTTTCTGTTTCTGCCAAGTTCGTGTTTGTCCTTCTCCTTTTTAGTGTTCCAATATTGTATAGATTAAACTGCTGTCATGTTTCCTACTCAACTTTCAAGCTCAGTACTTACAACTTAAAGTATGAATATTAAAAGCCTCATAATAATTCCACCTGATAGTAAAAGGGAACAGTATCCACAATGAGAACATTGATATCAGAGTTTTTATATATATATTTAAATATCTCTTGAATTCTTACTTGAAATTAAATATTTCTCCATTAACAAAAACATACTTCATTCTGGATTTTGATTCCAAATTGGGAAATATTCAGAAAACTATAAATTAATATGCATTATCAGGGAGGGGAAACTACAACAACTCCAGTGATCAAATTTCATACATTTTGATAGGTTTGATTGTTTGATTGTAAAAATCATTATTAGCAATGATTGTTAAACCTTTTGGAAAAAGCCTGTAAAAAAATGGTTTTTTTTCCTCCATTACTTTATTTCTGCCAGTCTTTAAGCCAATCCTTGTCTTTTATATTTTTGTATTTCCTCATTATGTTGGAAAATAAATGTAAAATACACAAATCTTTTAGAATATAAAGTTGCGATGATTTCCATGATTTCTATTATTTACAACATTGTTTGTTTTTGTATTATTTAGATTCTTACAAAAACAACTTTTGTAAAGTTTATGTAAAATGCAGTCACACCTCTTGAAATAATTCTTATATAAGGAATGCTTGTTTACAATCTTATAATAAATAAAATTCTGTGTGTGACTTGTGATCCTCTAGGTGTGCCTGAAGTTGGAGAAAAATGGTGTAAGTGACATGGAATTGTGTGACCAGTATAATGGGTTTCTGGTCGTCTCTGGGACGGCAGTTCTGGAGCTGGAAGTTGGCGACGTGGTCTCACTGAAGACAGTCAAGACGAACACCATCCTGACAGGCCAGGCCAGCGCCAGCACCATATTCACTGGCTTCCAGATCTTCCCAACCTCCTAAATCTGCAGTCTCCACAGTTTAATAAATTACAAACCTTCTGGGACAGTTAAAGGAACTAAATGATGTTTGTGTCTTCTTTAACAGAGCAAAGACTACCCACATTTGTAAAGGTTAGCTCTGTGTTGCAGAATTCATCCCATTACACTAACCACAAATCATGTTTTACTCATGCATGTATTACGGAAACACAGTAAACAATTCCCCAGTTTTACTTCACTGTGTCTGTAGTGTTTTGTTAAAGGTCCAGTGTTTACTGCTTCCACATTAACTGATATGGAAATATTACAATAATGTGTTTTAAGCTTCTTTAGTTATTTTGTTTAATTATAAGTTTAAGTCTATGAACACATTTAATTTTAAGCTCTTCTTTCACATGCCCTCAAAGTTTAACTTTCTTTACTCATAAAATTACTAAATGTTACTTTCATGATGTTTTACTATTATCAGATATTTTACAGGTTTACATGACTAGCAAATTCTTCCCTCTTGTGGTCAAATGTAAACACTCAAATGCAAATGTTTTTCATGTCCGCTGTGACACATCTTAAAACAGAATGAATTTTGTTAAATGTATCAGAATCAAAATCAGAACACTTTATTAATCCTTAAGGAAATTATATGGTTACAGTGGCTTCAAGACAATAAGAACAGTAACGCACTGAACTAAATTGAATAATACAATATATTACAATTATACAAAATATAAGAAATAGCTCTAATATATACAAATTACTAAATTATACATATCCAGAACATCACAGAGATTTAATATGTATGATTTACATTTTACTCTGAGCTGTAAAACTTGTCATTTGTTATTCTCACTGTAGAGGATGTGCACAGGATGTAACTATTGCAATGTGTACTGTGCATTAGATTAAGGACTTGTACAGGGAGATGGCCACAAGCAGGAATGATTAACTGTGTCGTTCAGTGGTGCGTTTGGGTAATCTCAGTCTCTCACTGAACATGTTCCTGTGACTGGCCAACACGTCATGGAGTGGGTGGGAGGTATTGTGCAGCATTGTCCTTATCTTGGATAACATCCGCCTCTCCTACCTTAAGGTGCAGTGGTATTTTTTAATTCAGTCCAGTTTATTATCAATGTAAACTTAAAGGTATGTATGGTCCTCCACAATGTCCGTATCGACCCCCTGGATTGAAACAGGGGTCACAGGTTTCCTGGTCCTCCTAAAGTCCACAATCAGTTCTTTGGTCTTTGTCATATTGAGCTGCACCACATGACAAAAGAGAACCACAGCCTGGTACTTTGTCTCATCACTGTCACTGATGCATCCAACCACCACAGAATCATCAGAAAACATGAAGATGGCTGGTCTCTGTGCGGTGGCTTAAGTCTGTGGTGTAGAGGGGAAAGAGGTTGCTGATCACCGTGTGAATGGGTGGATGACTGGATGTGTAAAGCACTTTGGGGTCCTTAGGGACTAGTAAAGCGCTATACAAATACAGGCCCTTTTTGTCAGACACACAATGCTGAAGACGCATATCTTGGTCTTCCTGTCAGAGAGGCATCTACCTGCATCACTATCAGCTTATCACTATGGAAGGTCGGCCTGATGGTATTGAATGCACTGGAAAAGTCAAAAAACATGACTCTTACTGTGCTCGCCGACTGGTCCAGATGGGCATAGACACGATTGAGCAGGTAGATGATGGCGTTCTCAGCTCGAGGTCGGGCTGGTAGGCAACCTGAATGCACACCATAAAACTAAATCCAGGTTCTTATTTCAATTTTTATATACCATTATAAAACTTGGGCTAAACCTTTTGGCTCTACAAATAGCTAATATTCACAGTGTACTTACTACTAGTCATTGTCTTGAACAACAATTTGAACAACACAATTTTAAAATTAGCTCCACTGACTCGTTCTTATAAGGTTGTTTATTACTCTCAAATTTCTCTCTTTCTGGGCTGGTGATGGGGACATGGAAACTTATTTTAAAATAGTGGTAAGTATTATACTGTATAATAATAAGTGACAGTAAACGATGAACAGTAAATTGTTGCTGATTGAATCTGGGTAAGTGTTTTTTGACAAGTTATCTCTCAAGGTTAGCTGCTTGATATTAATTACAGTGATATGACTCGTGACATCAGGCACTGGCCATTGACTACATATAAGATGGAGCTTTTGTGGCATTAGTCAAGCTTCAAGGTGGATCCCTCTGTGAAACTGAGGGATGCTGTACTTTTAGTACGTCGCCAACTTCAGGCCCCTCTTCTGTGGAACCAGCTTCCAGTTTGGATTCGGGAGACAGACACTATCTCTACTTTCAAGATTAAGCTTAAATCTTTCCTTTATGCTAAAACATATAGTTAGGGCTGGACCAGGTGACCCTGAATCCTCCCTTAGTTATGCTGCAATAGACGTAGGCTGCCGGGGAATTCCCATGATGCATTGAGTTTTTCCTTTCCAGTCACCTTTCTCACTCACTATGTATTAACAGACCTCTCTGCATTGAATCATATCTGTTATTAACCTCTGTCTCTCTTCCACAGCATGTCTTTTATCCTGTCTTCCTTCTCTCACCCCAACCGGTCGCAGCAGATGGCCCCGCCCCTCCCTGAGCCTGGTTCTGCCAGAGGTTTCTTCCTGTTAAAAGGGAGTTTTTCCTTCCCACTGTCGCCAAAGTGCTTGCTCATAGGGGGTCATATGATTGTTGGGTTTTTCTCTGTATCTATGAAGCGCCTTGAGGCGACTTTTGTTGTGATTTGGCGCTATATAAATAAAATTGAATTGAATTGAATTGAATTGAATTAAAATGAAAACGTGAGTACCAGCTCTCGTGGGCATCATAATTACAACTAATGATAAACAAAACAACGACAGTGAATTCAGTGAGACCTAAAACTAGAAATTGAGACCATAAACGCATCAGAAATGTGTTTACTGAGATCATAAATCAGCTGAGCCGCAGCATCATTCCCTCATGGACGTCTAAACGCTCAGGCTTCTTTTGGCAGCCCAATGAGTCGCCTCCTCCTGGCCATGAGTAAGAAAGCAGGTCACAGTGGGTCGATTTCTTAGACACCATCCATCTTTTATCTGTGAAAAAAATATTTTTCCCCCTCCTCGATTTCATTATTTGTTTGTTTGTTTGTTTGTTGGGTGTTAATATGGGGGGGGGGGGGGGGGGGGGGGGGGGGGGTCATAACCCCCCTAACCCCCCTGTAAATTACGCCCCTATCGCCCCCCCCATGAGTGAAATCATAATTTCAAAACTGCATTTTGTAGATTCTGTATAGAGTCTACTTCCTCCACAAAACAACTGGTGAAAGTGGTTTTGTGAAATTGATTTAATGCACTTGTGACAGGAGTTGCAGGATTACAACATTCACTGTAAGATCAAACAATGTACGTGATTAATTAACATAAAAAAAACAGCTGACCTTATGAAACACAAACGCCTCAGTTACAAAACACTCAGAGAAGGACCTTTAGCTTGAAATTATACTGATCTATTATTCTTTTTTTCTTCTGTCATATATGCTCTTACATAATTATAATGAAGGAACTGACCTCCCAGCCCATTGTTCCTTCAGTGGTGCTGGTTTCAGTCATTATGCAAATGTACTGTTTATAAGATTGGGGAAACCTGCAGTCAGCTGAGACTGAAGAAGTCACTTGGATGAGTGACAAAACGTTTCTCCCACTGAAAACGCTACGTCCAGATGAACAGAATCAACTTTTGGAGATGCTCTTACATTAATTGTGGCCAGACTGCTCTAAATGCCTGCTTGGTGTCAGGCAGTCTTCTTTATAATTTTGGCTCAGCATGAGCCATAACAGATAGGATCCACTAATATGGTCAGTTCATCTTAAGCTCCACTCACATTCTGTTTATAGGCAGCAGCAAATCAGAGGAAAGTTTCCTTTAAGATGAAGGAGCTGGACAACTAGTTTCAGACAGATGATAAACTGAGGAGCTGCACCAAACCCCAATAAAAATTAAAGAAGGGTACTGTGAGTCATGCACTATTTTTACAGTCCAAGAGCAACTATGGAGCACGAAATGAGCAGAAAATATAGTCTTTCAATAATTATGTTTAATTAGGAATCAATACTAGCCTGTGCTGTGTAACATTTCCTCTGGTGGCTCATTGGAATACACCTAGTACTCAGGTTTCAGGTGTATAAAGGTCAGTTGCTTCTTCCGGACTCTTTCCAGGCAAGATACTCATTAAATATCCAACACTTGGTATCAGGTTATTAGACACTTAACCCTACAGCCATGTGCATTGTAAACAGACAGCATTACAGGAAGTACTGGATTTCAGGATGGATTGATGGGCTGCATGTGCACTTTTTATTCCCATCACCATATTCCTGACAGGACATTTTATCTCATGATAAATATGACCACTTACAGGTGTACTCATGTATCAAAGCTTTGTTTTGTCTTTTGTTTGATAGGAAGTCAAAATCTAAGTAGTTCAACACGTACCTTCGAAAACTTCTAAAACAAACAGAAAAAAAATAAAAAAGATTTTTTAAGTAAATGAGTTTATAATACCAGGAAATCCCCAAATCACATTAGCCTAGGGTTATAGTTGGACATCTGTTGGCACGATTGCCTTTGAAGTGCTCTTTACCCTCATTAAAGAGCAGCCTGGGGTAACAGAACCTCAGCCTAGGGTATCGGTGGCTGCTGGGCGGCTGAATACCCCGTTCTTTGCATAGAAGGTGTTCTTCACCAAGGATGACCTGGCGCTGGATGGAGTTCTGTAATCTAGCGTGTAGTCACCTGTGGATAAAGGAAGATTACAATAATCTGAAGAATTACAAATTTGAGCGGAAAGCATCTACAGATCTACAAATCTGTGGTGGCAGACAGGAACTGAGCACATTCACAGTAAAACCTGTCTGAGTTAATCACAGTCATGGTGTGAATGTTGTTCAGTTAAACTAAGTCTGACACTGGCCCAGTGACCTCCACAGGCTGGACCCAGTGATGCACTGAATAACATTTAGTTAATAAAAACTCAACAATTTCTATTACTACAGCTGGAAGAAATTGACCTAATAACAAAAATCTGAAAAATATGATTTTGTATGAGTAGAAGCTGATAAGGTAAGCTAGCAAAAACTGTGCAGAGAGGATTGTCGCTTTAACTTTTTTTCTCTACGTTTTGGCAGGACCTTGTCTTTTTCTTTATTTTCATCATACATATATACTGTTTCAGTGGTGGATGTTCATATTAATCACGGCCAGAGTTTCAAATAATCTGTTCAGCACATGCACATGTAATCTCCCGGCATCAAAACCTCAGCTTTCAGACTGCTCTGAATACTCTAATTTACTTTTTTCCTCTCCTATTGGATCTATATGATGTTTGCGAGAAAGGTGGGACATGCCTGATATGAGGCACATACCTCTGACTGTGATCAGACTGAAAAAAAACCCAGCTTGCATTGTGTAACCTTTAAGATATTTAAATTCCAAATAGTGACTATAGTTTAATCAGTCACTGTTACAAGATCTCCTGGTATTAAAACACAGGATTACTACCGATGTTATAGTACATTTAGTACCTAATGGTGATTTTTGATTCAACAAGTTTATCTTTCTAAAGTTTATGCATCATTTTACAGTCACCACACCACAGGGGGCAGATTGTGACTCCATCGTACCAAGCCTCCAGCCATAATCCCAGGAGGAGAGCAGGGGAAAGTTAAACTTCTCCTCAGGTTTAATGTGTCCACGTCTGTGCAAGTACAGAGTTCTCCCTTTGCCCTGCAAAAGACACATAGATTACATAAAACATCACTTTTACAAAAATGTAGGAATATAGGGATATACTGAATAAAATTACTAAAATGATAAAATGGCAGGGTTTATTTTATTATAGCTAATTATTAGGGGTGCAACGATACACAAAATTCACGGTTCGGTTCGGTTCGATACTTTGGTGTCACGGTTCGATATTTTTTCGATACAAAAAATGTACATGCCTTTTTAATTTGTCATTTATTAAAATTATAAATATATATTTTAACCTAAAAGTATAGTTTTTAAATTTAATGTTGCTGAAACAACAACAACAACAACAAAAAAAAATAGATCTATCTGATCGAGGAATCACTCATCTTTGGAAAAGAGAGTTTATTACAGAGAAATGGCTCTTACCAAAATAAAAGCTATACTATACGCTTCTTCTGGGCTATATTCTCAGCAGCATATTAAACATATCAGGTCCCCATAAGGAGAATCACGTGCTAAAGGCTGTCTAAATGACTCGGGTAAAGTTTGTAGCATGCGTGCTTGTTGTTTTTGTCTGCTTCCACTTGTCTTTGCACTAGGATGATGTCGGCGTAAATGTGCAGTCATATTCGTTGTGTTCCCACTAGTGCTGTCAGCGTTAATCTCATTAAAATGACATTAACGCCATAACGCGGCAAATCTCCGTTAACAAGTTACCGCAGATCGCCCCGTGCATGGGGCTGGACGGCCAACACGTTAACAAGCTAACTGCGCTAACACACTAGTTTCCACCAATGTAATTGAGCATTGCGTGGCACATCCGACATACTGTTTTACTTTTGTCCATGACGCGCTTACCATCAGGGTCATACTTCACATGAAAACCAAAATAGTTCCAAACACCAGATCTGAATGAGGGTGGGGGAGGTTCAATTTCGGGTAGCGTTGAGGCAGTTGCCATGTTGCAACGAGCTTAGCTTCTGTCTTGTTAGCTTGCACTGCGCTCAGTGGATCTGCACTCGACAGTGCAGCCTAGGCGGAGTAGTTGGACGCAGATCCACTGAGCGCTCAACACAGACAGCATCGTCAGAAGAAAAGTTGATAAAATAAATAAAAATGTTTGTATTGTTCGATACATATGCATACCAAACTGAAAGCACTGTATCGAACGGTTCAATATCGATACGAGTATCGTTGCACCCCTACTAATTATCTTTCCAAGTATCTCAAAGGATTAAAGAGGACATTCATCATGGCTCCTGCCACAGCAGATACTTGCAGCTCACTTCACTCAGTTATGCTACAGTCACACTGTAGAAAACTGGAAATTGTGGCACAACCAAAATATCGTGAACTTGCAGTCTGATTGCCTTTGAAACGGTTGATTTGAGCACAGGGACAGGTCTGTGACCACTTATGAGTTGCTATCTTCTATGTGTTGTCAGCAAGATGGAGTCAGTCCAACAGATTATTAATTATTCTTATTGTATTCTAATTTTTGCGTCATAACTTTTGCACTGTCCACTTCCTGCTGTGACAAAACAAATTTCCCACGTGTGGGACTAATAAAGGTTATCTTATCTTATCTTATCTTATCTTAGAGAGAGGTAAGTGGAACAGAGAGAGGTAAGTGACGGACAAGGTAAGCGAATCATGTTGTAACTGATGTCAGACCCCAGAGATTTTTGTGGAAAATTAAAGCGAATGGTAGTTTAGAATTGAACGAATTCCTTTAAGCTTCAGTATTACCAAATATACTTATCAATTGTCTTATAACTAACAACATTTGTCTAAATCATCTCCAACACCCTGGGGAACAACGGGGAGAGTTTAGAGGCTCTCCAAGATTACATCAATCAGTGCTTCCAGGATCTGGTAATGAAGAAGGCCCAGAGTGCATCTTCCCCGGCCAAATCTGAGACACCGTCGTCAAAAAGATGTCACCCGGCAGATTCCCCCGGCATAACATCGCCAGCCGGCAAAGATATTGCCGACATACTGGAGTCAATCGACAAACGACAAACTGCAAGTCCAGTTTCGATGCAAGGCTGTCCTTGGTGGAGATTCCTCACTGGGAATTTAAGTACTTGCAAGAATCCCTGGAGTTCAGCCAGCAGCAGGTGGAAATGCTCGCTGCTGAAAATGCCACGCTAAGGGAGTCGGTGAAATGTCTCACAGACAATGTTACCCAGCTAAATAGAGAAAATAAAAAAAAATAAAAGAGACAGTTATTGATCTACAAGCTCGTGGCATGCGTGATAATCTTGTATTTTCTGGTATTCCAGAAGCCGCTGGAGAGGACGCGGAGACTACAGTGAAAAGCTTCATCAAAACCCACGTGTGGGAGTGCCTACTGGGGTCAGTGGGGGAGCTGGCCCCAGGGAGGGATCACTTGCCCCTCCCTTCCTTCCCTCCCCATCTCTAGCTGCCTCCCTCTTCCCGCTCCACCACAATCACCCACACATGCAGGGCCTTGGGGTA